CGCTGTGTCCACTCGCCCACCGGCTGTGGTTTGGTCATTTGAGGAAATCTGCAGGCATCCCTTCCCTATCCATAATTACTTATTGATTTCTCGTTTTGTGAGTGCAGCAGTGGCGGGACCAATGAAATGAATCCCACAGCAGTAGGAAAAGAGAGTCCTGGGTGACTCAGGCTGTGAAGGGCATGACTTCACTCCCATCAAAGCTCATTATTCACTGGCTGAATGGTACCTGAGGCCTGAGAGTCTGTCTTCCCGACAATAAAAGGAAGGACACTTAAAGATTAGCTTTATGCTTCGTTTCTCTCATCCAGACGGCAACAGTGAATACAATATCTCTATCCACAGAAACACTACCTTGTTTGGCTTCAAGTTTTCAAGCACAGGTGGTTTGGCATTCTTTGAGACAGAAGCTCACCGTGCAAGATCCCAAGGGGTAAGGGTAGGAGGGTTTGGGGGGGGAGTGGGGAGGGGAGGTATGGGAGGGTCAAGGGGTGTTGGGGAGGGGTAGGAGAGTTAGGGACCCCACAGGAGCACAACTATAGAAACATGGGGCCGTGACTATTTGTGGGGGAGAATGAGTCTGGTTTCTAACCTGGGTGACCATCAGCAGAGTTTGATTCTGATATCTGATCTGTCTTTGATCTGATCCCTGCATTTATGAACAAACGACTTTGCTCATAGAGTGGCTGAGTAGATGCTGTTCTTTCTGGAGCTCTTTGCAATTCTTAGAGCAAAATAGTGAGCCTGAGTATTATAAGCTGAACACCGGAAAAACTGTCTCTCTCTCTACTTGACAACGGGGGCTGCCCTGATGCTGTGTCCAAGTCTTAAGTTCTAAGTTTTGCACAGTGATGAAAATGTAACTTTCGATTTTTAGATTTTGCTTTTTTTTTTTTTTGTCGACAGCTGTACTGATAATAATAAATGTTGCTATCCCTACAACTGAAAAGGGATGACCTTGTGGAGACATGATGGCTGGCTTCAAAAATAGGAAGGCTATTCTAGAGAAGAGAAAGTAGACTTTTCAGTACAGCGTTGGAGGACAGATAACACACATATGGAGATTTTTCCTTCATGTAAGAGTTCTGAAAAATCATAGCCACCCAAAAATGGAATAATATGCCTCCTTAGGGAGTGATTTGCAGTGGAGAGTTCAGATACTCTATTATCCAGAAACTTTGTTTGGGTTTTCTACACAACGTTACAGAAAAATCAGAATGAACTTTTTGGCCAACCCGACATTTAAACAAAAGCAAATGACTCCTGGAGCTGATATGACAACTTCTTTCTTTCAGTAAAATAACTCCCTCCTCCTGCCACCAAGCTTTAGCAGGGCTCTTGATGGCTCACTTTTCCTGCCCTCCCTCATAGCCGGGTAACATGGCTGTGGCCACATGATTGAGTTCTTGATCATGGCAGGGAAGCAGAAGGTTGGTCCCTTTTGCATCACGTGCTTCAGAGAACATCACTTGCCCTCACTTTTCCTACAGGCTGCAGTGAGAGGGGAAGAGCTCAGTGAGGGAGCTTGGTACGCACACGCAACGATGATACCCTAGTACACAGCAGGATCACAAGACCGGTCCCAGGGTCACCGCTGACTCTGGGCCACCTGCCTAACCAGGTACAGGCCCATGACAGAAAGGGATACTTGTTTAGCTTGCGTTTCTGAAGTTTTGAGTCTTCCTGTTAAGAGTAACTTAGCTTGTATCCCAAACAATACAACTATGTTTTTCTTTTTTTTTTGAGATGTGCATAAGATTAAGGTATTATATAAGGGTTTATAAGAAATGCTTTCTGCAATTTTATAATTCTATGTCCCCATCCCCCCCCCCCCCAATTTATCTCCTTTCTCTCAAAACCAGTTGTCCCAACAAACCCTACCATTGCCAGACATTATCACGCTGTCAGTCACTGACCTCAATTTTTTAAGTACCAGTGTTCAAAAAGTCAAGAACTTTTGATCGCCTGCTTTTCTTTCAGCCCTCTATCAAGTCTGCTCCAGGGCTCACCTTCTTTCCTTTCAGAAAACATCCTCTGCACAAATACAGATGATAAAGATACTTGAAACTTCTCTTTGTGGTTATCCAATCTTAAGGATTTTTTTTTAAGGTGATGCATTATTTAGCCTTTGTGTGATAACATTCTTCTGTTTCTTTTCCTTTAGGGGAGAAAAGTCAGAAGTCCAGGCCTCATTGAAGTTGAAGGTCTGGATGATGCAAATCTGTTTTGGCTCACAATGTGTCTGGGTTCCAACATAATGTGGTCAACACACCCAGCCAAAAGAATATTCTGATTTATTAAATGGATCTCTAAGTGAAATAAAGTAGTTGAGCTAATGAAATGTGGTTCCGAGCCCTGTGCTTGGGTCCTAAGGAGGAAATAAGCCAATGACAGGTGGACCTTTAATTCCGTTCCATAGATGTGCCATTGTTATTTCAATTTACATCTATCTACTCACGTTTTTTTCCTCTTGCCCATAACGTTCTTTTTCCCCTTATCTCCTAATTCATGCAAACTCTATAGATTCTTCAAGATTTTGCTCTGTAATTTTCTTGCTCTTAATTTATCCAGTAAATCCATAATATATAACTCTGAACCTAATGCAGTTGCCAATCACTCTTCCATATTTCACTTTCATCCACAATAGCTGCTCTACATGTCACGTTTTCTTTGGAACTCTTCTTTTCCTAAGCCGATAATAGGTATTTAATAAACAGATTAGAAGCACGAATAATTATAGATATGGATCAGACATTTAGAAAATGATCTCTCAACTGTCAGTGAAGAACAAAATAGAAATCTATTGCCTCACTGATTAAAAACAATTCATAAGGACAAATGAATTTGGATTTTCTCACCATAGGACCTTTCAAAAAGAAAAGCTTGTGTGAATTTTGAGCTTTGCCATTGTAGCACTTGTACTGAGCACACAGTCCTCATTTCCTTTCGCAGCTGCACAATTTGGAAATCGTTAAGAACAACAGCATTTTCTCAATATTTTAAAATCATGGGTCAATTGAAAACATCACCTTCAGCTTCTCCAGCCTGTCTTTCTTGAGTCTCCTCACATTAAGACACATTTTAAACCCTCTTCAGCTCTTGAGTTTTAGCTCCATTAAATTTCTGACAACATACTCTTTTTTTTTTTTTTCCCCCTCATGGCAAGTGAAAGACAATTACACTTTCTGAACCCTACTACCAACACAGAAAAAACTAAAATGGAAAACTCATACCACGATTCAACAAATAACTTGTGAAGTCTCTGAAAGCCGTTTCCCTTCAATGCACAGAAGTATGAGAAGGTGCATTTCAGCAAAGAACTGGCTGGAATTCAGTGAAAGTGGAGTTTATTTGAGGCAGTAATATTTCATTGAACTTCTGGAGCCACTGATTCAGAACGACCAGCTCTTTTCTTACTTATAGTGTGTTCTCTGTGTCTGGCGGCCTGTTTAGCCAAAGGATCCTGTCCCTGGAGGGAATTCATTTGGCTTCTGAAAGAGTCCCGGAAGGAACCAAGGGATGTGCATTTCAAACAAAACAGACAGAATGGAACTCAAAGCATTTTAGCCAAATAGCAAGCTATTTAGGAAAGGATATCATTAATCAAGAACACTTCTGCAATATTTCAGCCTAAACATACTTCCTCTTAAGGAACAGAAAAATCTTGAAAGAGATTTCTGAAATATATGAGCTAAACTTTATTATTTTTTTTTCATTTATTTTTATTAGTTGATGAGCTAAACTTTAAACTGAAGTACAAAGCAATGAACTTATGGGAAATAGGAAGATCTTGGAGAAATCTAGAAATAGACTCTAACTTAGTAAAGTCAGTCATTAAATATTTAACTTTATCCCACAGGCTTAGAAAAAGATCGATTTTCCCTCTGGCAAGATGGATCTCACTCCCTTTCACCCTCTTGAGCCTCTTGCTGTGGCCCCACCTCCCATCCAAAGACTGGGATGCTGGGGACCAATGTGGCAGTGATTCTTGGCTTCCCCCTCCTCCACGCAGGCTGAGGGGAGGCAAGGAGGGGCTCTGGGACATTGATGATGAAACCCTGTTGACACTTTCTGAATCCCTATGGAGACCAATGTCTACGCCGTTCTCCCTGCCTATCTATCAATGACGTTCTCTGCCCCATTTGTTAACTCAAATCTACCCTGAGAGCCCTGATCATTGAAACAACTCACATATGCTGTCTGGTAACAACAAAACAGTAACTTCTGGGGGACACTGTTAAAGAACTCTCCTCCTAACCAAAAAAGAAAAGTTGTGCACCCTTTGTTTACGAACATTTGGGAAAGAATCATATAATCAAAATTTCTAGATGTGACCTTTTTGCTTAAGGTTATGTTTCTAAACTATTTTGGGGAGGAAGTCCCCTTTGAAATGTATGATATAAATTTCTGCCTGGCTCCGGGGAGTCTCCTGAGCAAACGCCCAGCCTCTTCCTACGATCTACGGCCATCATTGGGATTATCAGCCCTTCACCTTGCATATGAACCGGTCAGCGTCTTGGATGCGGAATGGGGGTCTCTACTCAGTTTCCTAGGTTGCAAGACTTCTCAGCTTCCTGAACTGCCTTTTACCTTTTTTTGTTCTGTCTCCTCTCCACAATGACTTCAGTTATTTATTGGCACTTGTTGACGCTTTTGTGTGTGAGAGTGTGTGCAAAATCCCTCAGTTCATTGCTTTTTAGTCTCTTATACAATATAGGAGCTCAGAAACAAGCTTATTTTCTTGAAGGTAAGACTACGGATATAGGTCTGTCCAATCCAGAAAGTTCATGGATCTTAGCATATATTCAAGGGACATTTAGCAACCTTTTTTTTTTTTTTGGCTTCTTCACTGATTCTCTTGTTTCACTTGTGTTTCAATTGCTCAAACTCTCAGACAAGGTTCCTTCGTATCTATGACACATCTTGTTATGACCAAATATTGTCTTTAGGCTCAGGGTCTGTGTGCAACTTATGAGCCAAGAAGGTAAAGCCAACCTTACCTTTTTGTAGAGACTCCTCAGGTCTCGGTACTGCCACATGCTGTTGAGGACCTGAGATGCCGCCTTGACCACCTTTGGAGAGTGTCTGATAAAGAGAAGACAAGACACACAAGCGGTGAGCGGGATAGCTGGGCTTCAAATGACTTGGCAGGAAACAGCAAGAATAAAGAGAACAAAAGCCTCGTGGCTTTTCTGGCTCTTTTCTATCTCCAGTCTGGACAGTGCAAAGGATGCATGTCATCAGTGTCCAACCTCATTCTCCCCCCGACACCCATGACAGGGGGTAGGGTCGGGGGAGGAAGGCTTGCAATTTGGCAAAGAATTTTCACAATGCCAACCCAAGAGCAGTGCATTGAGTCAGAATATGCAGGTTCAGCGCTGGACTAGGAAATAGAACAGAAAGAATCTTGACCAGGAAAGGCAAGATTAAAGGGTTTTAATAGTTGTGTTGTCTAACCTGTGTAGATGGGTCAGTGGGTAAAGAATCCGCATACAGTGCAGGAGACACAGGAGACTTGGGTTCGATCCTTGGGTTAGGAAGATCCCCTGAGGGAGGAAGTGATAACCCACTCCAGTGTTCTTGCCTGGGAAATCCCATGGACAGAGGAGCCTGGCAGGGAGCAGAAGGGGTCACAAAGAGTTGGACATGACTGAGCGCAAGCAAGGAGTAAGGAGGAAAAAAAAGATACTCATTTTCTCAGCTGAAGCGTAAGAGCTTGTATAGTGTTTGCTCTCCTGCCTGAGGGGTTCAGGGAGCTGCTTCCGTACGCTGAGGAAGCCAAGCAGTGGCGGTTGGCATGGAGATGACCTCTGCACGCACTGGCACACGGGCTCTCCTGCGTTTGTGTGGAGGAACGAGCACGGATAAAAGACTCTATAAACACAGCCCTTCATACAATTCCCATTCTGTCCTCCAGACCACAGTGAGAAACTAAGGTCACGTAAACCTTTGGACTAGCAGTTCTTACCATTTTTTTTCGAGTCACGGCTTTGAAATCCTTATGAATCTATTGCTAAATATTGGTTTGGTGCCAACCTGCATCTCAGATCAGACTCTAGGTCAAGACATCTGTGTTGATTCAATTCGATCCGATTCTTGGAAATCACTTTGATGAGTGGCGAGGGCCCTGCTAACTACCTGTGGATTCTTTGCTCCAATGGGCTGAGTCCACAACCAGCCTCATGACCTGAGTGGCTGACATGGCATTGTGCCTGATCTCAAGGGCTGGCACACTTTTGCTATAAAGAGTCACCTATCAAATATCCTTTGATTTGTGGGCCATATCATCTCGGTTGCCACTGCAGGACAAGAGGAGTCATAAATAATACATAAACGAATGGAAGTGGCTGTGTTCCAATCAAGTGCTATTTACAAGAAAGGGTGGACAGTGGGATTTGGATCATAGCTGGCTGACCCTTGGTTTATGCGGGGACCCCTGGAGTTGGGCAGGTTGTAATCACACATGAGGACGCCAATGTGAAGTCCACCCCTGAAGTTGACCCCTGAAGATTCCCCAAAGAGAACATATGAGTTGAGATCAAAACTGCTTTTAACATAAAATAGTCTTTAAAATGGAAGATGAGCAGATGGTGAGACGGGATCGAGTTGAGCTTGGACTTGAGAGCCAGAGTAAATGGATGTGTGTGTGCTAAGTCAATTCAGTGGTGTCCAACTCTTTGCAACCCTATGGAAAGTAGCCTGCCTGCCTTCTCTAGGCAAGAATACTGGAGTGGGTTGCCGTGCCCTCTTCTGGGGATCTTCCTGACCCTGGGATCGAACACACATCTCTTATGTCTACCTGGATTGGCAGGTGGGTTCTTTACCACTAGTGCCACCTAGGAAGCAAGGACCTGTATTTTGTAATGAAATGATGGGACCTTAATACGTGATCAATTAAATGTCTGCTATTTTCCTGGGTCTTCAAGTGTGCAATGTAGAACAACTTCATTTAAGTTTTTTCATCCATTTACTTACTGGAAACTGGAACAGTCACTCTTCCTATTATTATTGCTGAATTGGAATTCAACTTTGGCTGTGTTTGAAAATGTCTTAGCTAATATTGTGTACTTTTAAAAGAAAACATATAGTACTCTTGTAAATTTCAAATTTTTTTCTCTATGAGATGAGCAATATTTAAGCAAAATACATATTTTCTTTACCTAAAATGGACAGTTGCTAAATGATTTCACATTTACGCTAGTATCATGCTCTAAATATATTGAATTCTTTTGACAGAGAATTGTAGATCTTTTCATGGATATAGATACAGGTATACTTTATTCTTTTTTTAAAAAATTGAATTATTATTGACCTACAATACTCTGTTAGTTGCTAGTGGTCTGATAGCTGTATGCATCGCAAAATAACCACTATGGTAATTCTATTTACCAGCTGGCACTACACAAATTACAATATTTATTGTAAATATTACAATATTATTGGCTATATTCCCCCTGCTGTGTATTTCCTCCCTACGGTTCATTTATTTTGCCACTGGAATTTCATATCTTCTAATCTCCCTCACCCATTTCACTCATCGCCCCATCCCTCCCTCCTCTGCCAGCTGCCGGTTTGTTCTCTGCATCTGTGAGTCTGTTCCTATTTGGTTACGTTTGTTCTTCTGTTTTGTTTTTCAGATTTCACATACAAGTGAAATCATATGGTATCTGTATTTCTCTAACTTATTTTATTTAGTATAATAGCCTCTAGGTCCATCTATACTGTTGAAAATGACAATATTTTATTCATTTTTATGGCCAAGTAATATTCTCTTGTGTATATGTATGTGTATATATATATACACACATAAATATATATGTGTGTGTGTATATGTATGTGTATATATATATACACACATAAATATATATGTGTGTGTGTATATATATATACACATGCATNTGTATATATATATACACACATAAATATATATGTGTGTGTGTATATGTATGTGTATATATATATACACACATAAATATATATGTGTGTGTGTATATATATATACACATGCATATTGTAGTAAATAATCTATTTACTACCTGTATATATGCAATATGTACATATATATTACAATAAATATGCTTCCCTGGTGGCTCAGATGGTAAAGCGTCTGCCTGTAATGTGGGAGACCCGGGTTCAAGCCCTGGGTTGGGAAGATCCCCTGGAGAAGGAAATTGTAATAAGTAAGGCTGCAATGAACACTGAAGTTCATAAACTTTTTCCAATCAGTGTCTTTCTTTTTTCTTTAGAAAACTATACAGAACTGGAACTGCTGGATCATATGGTGGTTCAATTTTTAATTTTTTGAGGACCCTCCATGCTGTTTTCTATAGTGGCTGTACCAATCTATATCCCCACCAACAGTGTACAAGAGTCCCCTCTTCTTCACATCTTTGCCAACACTTACTGCTTTTGTCCTTTTTAATAGCCATTCTGACAGCTGTGAGGTGATATCTCATAGTGGTTTTGATTTGCATTTCCCTGATGACTAGTGAGTGATGTTGAGCACCTTTTCATGTGCCTGTTGGCCATCTGTAAGTCTTCTTTGGGGAGAAAAATGCCTTTTCAGTCTTCTGCCTAATTTTAATTGGGTTGTTTATTGAATTGTATGATATATATATAATATTTTATATATATATGCATCTTGGATATTAACCTCTTGCTGGTTATATCATTTGTGCATATTTTTTTCCCATTCAGTAGGCTGTCTTTTTACTTTGCTGATGGATTCCTTCACTGTGCAAAAGCTTTTAAGTTTAATTAGGTTCCCTTTGCTTATTTTTCCACTCTCTTCTGGCCTGCAATATCAGCTGAGAGACTTATTGGAGTTCCCCTGTGCATACTTAATTCCTTTTCTCTTGCTGATTTTAAAATTCTGTCTTTATCTCTAGTTTTTGCCATCTTAAATACACTGTGTCTTGGTGAGGACTTCTTTGGGTTCACCTTGTTTGGGACTCACTGTACTTCCGGGACCTGGATGTCTGTTTTCTTCCCCAGGCTGGAGAAGTTTTCAGCTATTAATACTATTACTTCGAATAAATTCTCTGCCCCTTTCTTTCTCTTTTCCTTCTGGACCCCTACAATGCCAATATTAGTATGCTTAATGTTGTCCTAAAGGTATCTTAAACTATACTCGTTTAAAAATATTTTATTTGTTTATTCCACTACTGTCTTCCAGTTTGCCATTCCATTCTTCTGTATCATCTAATATACTACTCATTCTTCCTAGTGTATTTAAAAAAAATCAGTTATACAAAAATACCCAAAGTTATACAAGTATTACTCAAAGCTACAGTTTTTCCAGGAATCATGTACAGATGTGAGAGCTGGACCATAAAGAAGTCTGAGCACTGAACAACTGATGCTTTTGAACTGTAGTGCTGGAGAAGACTCTTGAGAGTCCCTTGAACTTCAAGGAGATCCAACCCGTCAATCTTAAAAGAAATCAGTCCTGAATATTCACTGGAAGGACTGATGTTGAAGCTGAAGCTCCAATACTTTGGTCACCTGATGGGAAGAGCCAACTCACTAGAGAAGACCCTGATGCTGGGAAAGATTGAAGGCAGGAGGAGAAGGGGATGACAGAGGATGAGATGGTTGGATGGCATCACCGACTCAATGGACACGACTCTGGGAGACAGTCAAGGACAGGGAAGCCTGGTGTGCTGCGGTCCATGGAGTCACAAAGAGTCAGAAACAACTGAGCAATTGAACAATAACAATTGTACTCTTCAGTTCTGTTTGATTCTTCTTTATATTTTCTAACTCCGTTACACCTGTTACTGCATTCATTCTCCTGAGCATCTTTATGATTATGACCTCAGCTCTTTATTGGGTAGATTGTTTTTACTTCCCTCAGTTCTTCTGAGGTTTTATCTTGTTCCTTTATTTGGAGTATATTCCTCTGTCACTTCGTTTTGCTTTACTCTCTGTTTTTATTTCTATGTATCAAGTAGGTCTGAAGTTACCTTTCCTGATATTGGAGGAGCCGCCTTATGTAGATATCCCATGAGGCCCAGGAGCATACTCTCCTGTGGTCACCACAGCTATATGCTCTCGGGGACGCCCCTGTGGGCCATGTGAGCCCT